CCCTCTTAAGTCTCCAAATTGAATTCTTTTGTTAATACCATACACTTGCAAGGTTCTATCATTGTATTTTCCATATCCTTAGACCTTAGCTCTTCCAACTTAAATTTATTTAACCCAGTTCCACAGAATTTTTTGTAACTTCATATTTGCAAATGCTTAAACAGGTATCAGTAAAATCTCGTACTGAGAGGTCATATGCTGTAGAGTGCAGTGGTTGAAATATGGGCTTCTATTTTTTACCTAAGTAACCCAGGAAAATGTCTGAACCTTTTTGGTAAAATAGCAACAGGAGTACTTATACCCTAGGTTGAAGAGGAACAAATAAGATAATACATGTAAGGGACTTAACACAGCACCAAACTCATAAGAGTTGCTCAATAAACATTAGTTCCATACTCAAATCACATGAACAATACATATGGCCTACTCATTGCAAGGGGCAAACCTTGCAAGAGACTTTTTTCAGTAAGGAATTCAGAATACAGTGGAAATGTAACCCTTTAAAGCTACAAACAGGCTCTAAGTCTAACCTTGAAAAAGGCAGATCTAGAATAATGTAGATCATCCTAGGTAAAAATGGTAATGGAGCACAGTAGCAGCTGAGTTGAAAACAGAATACGAGGGGGATGGAAATGGAGAAGAGACAAGGAGATACTGGAGAGGCCAGGCAGAAAATACAAAGGAAGAGCTACTTTTGATCATAACTCTAGTTAACTGACATTAGCTATCAGAATCTAATATGAACCTAATTTTTCATTGTGGTTGCACAGATTTTTTTCAAGTAACTTAAGGAATATTTTTAAGAGGAATTAAGAAGAGATGTCTCCTGAACTTTCTTACCATGTGTACATTTATTACATATTTATTGAACACGTGCTACATGCCAGACACTTTGCTAGGTACTTTGTATAGTTTAGCACAAATGACAAAAACAAGCATGGTTCCTCAAATCATCTCATGAGGGAGGCAGTAAATAACCAAACAACTAAGTCATAATTACAAATCAAAAGGGCTATGAAGGAAAAAGACTATCAAGTGTCAAGAAAGTCCTTTTGAGAAGGTACTGGCTACTTAGCATCCTTCAAGTCTCAAGTAATCAGGAAGAACAGGGAGAAGAGGCAGAAAGGTAAGCTCTTTTGCAGTGACCCTAAACAGGAAAAAGTCTGTTGCATTCAAGGTAATAAAAGATCAGTGTGGCCAGGCATGGTACACACAGCCTGTACTCCTAGCACATGGTGGTAGAAGTAGGAGTTTAAGACTAACCTGGGGTATGTTGTAAGACACTGTCTTAAAAAAAAAGGCCACTCACCAGAAAACACTGATCAAAGAGAGCAGCTAGATGAGAAGTGGTAGAGGTCTGAGAAAGGAGGTGTGAACTCAGTCAAGACAACAGCATCATGTTGTCTTGGATCAAGGGGTGTGGATTTTGTTCTATGTGCAATGAGAACCACTTAAAGAGATTTAAGAAAATTGGTAAAAGTATTTCAAAACTCTACTCCACTTTGTATGGAAACTTTACTGGCTGGGTGAGGACAAATTGAAATGGGGAAAACAGGACAAGAGGGATGGTATGAGGAAAGGAGATAAGAAATAGGCTCTAGCACCCTCCTAGCTGTCACATAATACCAACACTAATCTATGCTGATCATTTACTTACTATTTAACAGCTGCTCCACAGAGCAATTTCGTAAGAAGTCATTTCAAATGACTAAAATTAAAATTAGTATTATACCCAAAATATTTCAAAAATTATTTTGTCCTAGCAACTAAAATATACTGCAAAGTTTATAATGACAAAAAGCATGAACATGAAAATGTAAAACCGTGGGGAAAAATTCTGGTTATTCCTTAAATTTAAATATTGATTCTTATACCAATCTTGCCTTATTTTATAACTACCATAACAAAACTGAGCAAATCACAAAACTATCCTTTCTTTAAGTACCTTCAATGGTAGATAAAAATTTTTCCCTAATCAGGCAAAACATCATTATCCCAGGATAGGAATGTATTCTACTAGCAACTATATGCTAGGGTTCCAAAATCATGAACCATCTTCTCTAGATATTTACCAGCAAGTATTTATCAAGTGCTAAGAATAATTCTATTATTTCTGTATAAAGGGCCCTTGTTAACTTCATGAAGCAGGCAACAAAGTCTTGGTTGCAATGATCTCCTAAATAGCAGACATGCACCTAGAAGCAAGAGACCCAGGATCTCCTAGATCCATTACTATCATCTCCCACTGTGTCACAGCAATAGGAGAAATGTGAGAGGGAAATGAGCTGTACTTAGTAGACATAGCCAAGGCAGGAAGGAAACAGTCTCCCCAATTTCCTACATGCTTACTTGCAGACACAAAATGGGTTCAATGTAAGTGATCCTTTCAATATCCTAACAATACACCCCTTGGACTCTATTTTAAAGTTGACAATCTAGTAGCAATCCATATAAAAAGTACAGTGCTTCCCTTTTTGCTCCTAAGTTTTACTTTCCATCATATAGCAAGATTATTAGGAACATCCTTGATCAATTTCCTCATTTATTTTGGTAAGCACAGCAATTCAATGAGCCTCCAGTGAAAATAATCACTGCCTACTTCCCACCCTCACTATGAAAACATACTGTATTCATTAATACTTCCAAAATTAGTGGCATGGTACAATTCTAGTGACTACTTAAACATACCTCTTCCAGTATGTGTTCCTGAACATAGCAATAGTTTTTTGGCAATGAAACAATCAAGGAAAGAAAAATGTCTACCTGATACTGTGATTAGACAAATAAGATCAATCACAAAAGCTGGGGGGAAAAAGATCTAATAAAACATTAACAGGAAATAGATTCTTCAATTTTTGCTCAACTACCTTCCCATCTACTAAAAGCTTCAATTAGTAATTACTTATTTACACAGTATTGACCATAAATCAACATTGTACGTCAAGTTAATTGTAGGCATCACTGCCAGGCAAATATCAAACCACTGAGCCAACTATTACTACCGTTGTGCTGACTGCATTCTAAGAATTAATGGCCTCTGGACTAATTTCTGATTTTAGTAAAAGCTCATGTAAAAACAGCTCAAAGTTATAAAAACATATGGGTTATTTGTCATGTTCCTCTGAATCCTCTGAAGCAGTGATTTTTTTTTAGAATAAGCCTTCTTTGACTCTGATGAATGGCATTCATCAGAATACACTCTGGAGGGGATGTTTTGCCTGATTAGGAAAAAATTTTTATCAGAGGAAAGGTCCTTCCTTTCCTCAGAGCTATGTTTAATTACCTCCAAAACTCATGTTGAAATGTGATTGCCAATGTAGGGGTATTAAGAGATCATGGGAATACAGCCCTCATGAACAGATTCACTCATTCATGCTCACAGGATTTCCCAATTGCTGGAACAATGAGCCAAAATCAACTTTTACAAATCACTCAGTCTCAAGTATTCTGTTACAGCAAGAGAAAGGAAACTAAGACACCTAGAAAAATGCACATGTGAACACTCATACAAAAAGTAGCTAATGATTTCAGGAGGTTAAAAATAAAATGCTTTGTGTTTATCCATGAAGTCTAGATCAAGAACTAAGACAGCCCCCTGAGCAAACTGGAGCTCTGATGCAAAAGTTTATGAGCAGTGCTAAGAATGGAACTGTTGGGTCAGCACAAGGTAAAAGACAACTGAAGGAAAGGCCATGTGACATTCACCACCACACTCTGAATGAAGCCTGTACTATAGCAGCACAGTGCTTACTCATTCATTTGACACTGACTGAACACGATTATGTACCAAACAAGTTTAAAAACAGGTATGACACTGATCAAACTGATGGAGTTAACATGGTTCCTGCTCTCATAAGTACAAAGGGAAAGACACTCGATCATCCTGATGAATAATTAAAAACTGAGGAATGACAGTGGAATAGGGAAAACATATTTTGTGAGTGCCTACCACAAAAGAACCTAGCTTAGATTGAATGGTGACAAGAGGCTTCTTTAAAGAAAAGGTAAGGTGAAATCTAACCAGCATACACAAGTAGTCTATGGAGAAATGGAGGTGGGGGATAAAGTTAACACAAGGCTTCCAGATGGAAAAAACCACATAAGCAAAGAGCCAGAGGCAGAGATAAAGTGTAGCAAAAATATTAGGAAATTAAAAAGATGTGGATTACCTATTAATAGCTTTCTTCTTAGCATGTTACTTCTAATAAAAATAAGCATATATTCATCATGGGTAGTTGAGAGAATTCAGTAAAACACTCAGTTAAATGTGTGGCACATAGTATTGACTAAATGTTAGTGGTGATAATTGATTATAAAATAGTTAAGAGAACCTGTACAGAGTAGGAATTAAAAGTGCCTGAGTACATTCAACTCTCAAATTAACTTGTTAAATGTTCCTCAAGCTACCAATAACAAACTTCTAAGGCAATATGCGAGAAACTTAACCATTTTAATAATACCCGCTCTTCGTTTTTACTTATAAAAATGTGCTAAAATGACTTGTATTTAGATGTAGCACAAATGTGTCAACTCTACCTAAGAATGTTATACTATTCATACTAGTCTTTTAAACAACTTACTGATGAACGGTGGAAAAGGCTTAACTGAAACATTTTTTAAAAGAAATTATTTTAATTTCAGCCAGTTGCAATGGCTCACACCTATAATCTCTGTCTCTACTTAGGTGATAGATCAGGAGGATCACAGCTCAAAGCCAACCTGGGCAAAAAACTTAGCAAAACCCTGTTTTAAACAGTAAGCCCAGTGTGATGGGACACCTGTAATTCCAGCTATGTGAGAGGTGTAGGTAGAAGGATCTCTGTCTTGAGGCCAGTTGGGGCAAAAAAAAAAAAAAGTCAGACCCTACCTGAAAAATAAAAGCCAAAGGGGCGAGGTGTGGCTCAAGTGGTAGAGCACTTGCCTAGGTCTGAGTTCAAAAACCAAGTACCACCAAAAAAGAAAAAAAGAAGAAATTAAATTAAGTTCACTTTGCTTCTAGGCAAAGCGTCATATGGATCCCCAATAATGTGGACTAAGTATTCTTGCAGAAACCTGCTAATATTAAAGGAAATCGATCCTTTTCAGATATATACTGTTGGATATACTGAGTATCTTTAATAGATTACCAGGCATGCAGTTACCCAATAACTTGCCAACTGAGGCATCAAGACACTAACTTCTACCACAAAAATGCAACGTTACCTGGAAAACTCGTCTTCATTATATCAATGCCAACTTGTAGTTCAGGTTCAGCCACAAGCACTGCATAGTCTCCTTGATGGGAAATGTTAAAGTTGAAGTTAGGATAAGGATTCAGCGAGTCCTTTGCAAGGACTGGTTTTCCTTTTGCAGTTCTTTGCAAACGAATATGATTCCAAGGGATATTCAATTTCTCTGCAACCAGTTTCCTTATCATCAAACGGCCAGCCTGTTAGACAGGTAAAACATTTAGTGTCTACTGATATCTACTGAACAGCTAAGTACATTGCTCATTTTACAGTCTATTTTTTGTGGTTCCTGAAGTTCTCACTTTTAAGTTTTGAAAGTACCTATGTATTAAAGAGAATGTATTAAGATTAAGCAATGCTTAAGCAAATAGGTTAAAGCATGAATGTTAGTAACAGGCATCCTCTCACTCTTAAGTATTTAAGAACTTTCACATATGGTTTTGCTAACTCTGTATAGAAACATGTATCAAATCATTCTCTGTGTTGTAGTCTACATCTAAATACGTTTCTTAATTCATAAATATCAGGGATTATTTCATGTCTGTATGCATCATTCTGATCTGCACACTTTTAATTATAGCATAATATTCCATATTACTCAGGTAGGAGCAGCACATTGTCTGTTCTATTATTGGACATCTGAGGCTAGCTCTAGGTTGGCCATTATGAAAAATTCTGCAGCAAGCAGGCCTACTGTACCTCCACACATGCACATATGCGAAAATTTCTAGATGCTATAGATCAAACACTCGGCTCCAAAAATTAGGGAGGCATAATTTATCTTGTTCAATTCTCCACACCTCCATTAATTATTAAGAAATTACTAAAAAAAAAAAGCAGCAAAAAGCCCAAGAGTACAAGATGACAAGGTATATAAGCTTTGAAACTATTCTCCAAGGATTTTTCACCTTCAATTCTAACACTGACTTTAAATGGGACTCTGAAATTCACTCACTTCCTCATCTCTTACAAATGAAGAAGCATCACCAGCGTGCCTTCAAACAAAAGTGCCCACTAGCCTATACCTGACTAAATAAACAGGGATATTTTCAAGAAACAACCGTTAATGAAGTAATGAAGTGCTTCAAACTGCACTACACTACACAGTCAAAGTGTTTATTGTGAAATCAAGTTGCCATTTGTTGCTAGAAAATACATCACTAAAATGCATCCATCTATTAAAAATACTGTTTCCCAAGCCAGATAGCTTCCTGACTAAATAGTCAGGGAAGAATGGTCAGGGCTGTATCCCAGCCCTGGACAACAGGCCTCGGCCTCTCTCAGTCTCATGGTGCGCAAGGCTGTAAACTAACTCATATTACCAATATTTTCTGGGGCCTACCACGTGCCGGGGGCCCTTGGAGAGTGGTGGGATAAATAAAAGGCTGATTAAGCATGGGCTGTAAAGTCAGCAAAGACAAAAACCAGAACTGGATAGTATTTAAAAACGCCATTCATTACGGCAAAAACCCTGTTACTTTGTAGGCCTTCTCTACACTAATGGCTCGGAAGGGTCTGTTTTCAGTTGCATGGGGCGGTGCGCATTTTTACAGCGAGCGAGGCCTCCAAGGCGGCTACAAAGGCCGTGGAAGCCAGGCCGGGCCGGGCGCAGGCCAGAGACCCTCAGCCTCGGCCTCTCGTCCCCCGGCGCCACGCGTGGTCCCTGTCGGGCGGCAGGGAGGGCAGGTCCCCACAGCCCAGCCCACCTCCCCCGACACCTGCTTCCTTGGTTCCAAATACCAAAGACCTGGAGTACCATGGCTGCCTTAGCGTCCCGGGCAAAGACGAACTGGCCAATACGCTCCTTCTCCTCGGGCTGGATCGATCGCACCGCCAGCAGCCATTCTGCTCGGCTCGGCAGCCATGTGCCACAGGAAAAGGCCCAGCGCACGCCTTCCATGGATGGCACCAAGCAGAACCGCTTGGCTGGGAACACCATAAACCGAACGCAGACCTCGCCGCCACCTGAGAGCTGATGGCGCGGAGGCGACGTGGACCCGCCCCCTTCTTCCTGCGTCTGTGCGCATGGGCGTGGCATTACGTACGCCTCAGGCTCCGCCCCCTTCTCCCGGCAAAGGCGCGCAGGGGCGGGACGTCACAAAACGACTACAGGCCCGTAGTCCATCGAGATCCTACGCTGCCCCGCCCCAAACTCGACCTTCTCCTCGTGAAGAAAGTGGCCGGGGGCGGAGACGCAGTTCGGTTTCTGGGAGCTGCAGGCGTCACGTGACGTGTGTGGGCGTGGCTCAGGAGGCAAGTGAGGGGCGGGACCAAGTCCAAGCGCAGAACAGTTACGCCACTCACGCTTAGAGAAGAACTAACCGGACAGCGGTGCTAGCCAATAGCAACCAGTGCTCTGGAGGCAGCGAGACCGGGGTGGAGACTTCGGAGACTGCAGGTGCTGGTGGGTGAGCTCCGGGGTCCGAGGGAGGAATGGGATGGTAGTGCTTTACGCCGGGGGACTGCGGTTGGCTTCCAACACCCGCAGAGACGCTTTCCTTGGCTTCAGCTGCTTCTGCCGCTCCTTAGCGTTGCAGGGCAGGAGAGGTTTCCCCGGCTAGAGGAGGGGTGATTGCCCTGGTGCCCCCTGGAGTTGTGCAACGCGGCGGCCCTCAGTTGTCTTCCCTCCTCCGTCCCCATCGCATGGGCTGACTCCCACCCTCACCTGGACACCTCTGACCCCAGCAGAGCCCTCCAAGGCCTGCTTGATCCCAGGCTGTCAGCCAGCAGCTTGAGTGGTGCACACCCTTCATTGCGGCGCTGAGACCCAGGTGCAGCCTGGGGATTGCCAGGCCTGGGCGGGCGCCCCAGGGAGAAAACCCAGGTTGCTGTTGTTGAGGCGTCAGTGTAATCATGAGAGCTCCTCCATCTAGTAAGCAGCCAAACCAAGTAAATAAGTAACCTAAGCGGCCCTTCGGGTTCGCTCTGTGCCTTTGCTCCATGCTTTTCTGACTTTATGAAGAGTCATACTGACTTATGTCACTCTTGCCATAGTTGTTCCATCTAGACCCTGGTGACTCTTGCATGAAACCCCACGTGATCAAAATCCAGAGAAAAGTTGGTCTCTGCAGATGACTGTAAATACCTCGCTTGATGGTAGATTAAATGCCATGCTGTGTGTTCCCTTCTTCCTATAGCTGCAGGGAAATCGCGGCCCAAAGCCAGTAGCAGTGATTAACACAATTACCTGCCTGTTATTTTTGAAGTTGGATTTCATTCTGTTCTTTTACTGTGCTTGTTCCCTTTTACTGTTTGGGGATACCATGAACCCTTTGGAATCTTTTTGCAAACACATGGGATTTTGTACACACTATATCCTTGAAGGACCGTAAGATAAAATTACTGGCTCAGTGGCGTCCGTTTAGCTAATACTTACCCAAAGCCGGTGTCAGATGCCATAGTTAAGCCTTATCAATGGTAGGGAGTATGCAGTGTGGCGAGGCAGATGCAGCATGTACATAAAGGGCTAGAATAAGAGTAAAGGTATGTGGAAAAAGAGTACTATTACCCACGCATCAGCAGTGGTCCTATCAGTTTTCCATTTTCACTTTAATATTTGGGCATATTGTAACTTGTTCTTCTTGTTTTAAATTTTAGCTTATTTGCTTTTTCTAAGGCACTTTTTTTTTTCTTAGTAATGCATGGGCTTGGACTCAGGGCTTCCTGCTTGCTAGGCAGGCACTCTACCACTTGGGCCTCACCTCCAGCCCTTTTTATTCTGGTTATTTGGGAAATAGGATCTCAACTTTTGCTCAGGCCAGCCTTGATCAAGATCTTGCATTTTATGCTTATTTTACTCTTCCTTCTGTGGCTGTGATGACAGGTGCATGCCACAATGCTTAGCTTTTCTTCCTATTCCAGTGGAATCTCATGACCTGTTTGCCCAGGCTAGACTCCAACTTCAATCCTCCTGATTTCAGCCTCCTAAATAGTTAAGATTACAGGTGGGAGCCACTGGTACCAGCTCTAAAACACTTCTGGATAGTCTTCTGTGTAGTAGTTATTAGCAATGAAGAAATAGCCCAGAAAGAATGTGTGGAATAATTTAAATTCAGATGAGGAACTCATAACCTATTCTTTTACCGTTGAATATTGATCTATGGAGCCTAATACACAAAGAGGTGATGTAGTGTTCTCTCTACCTAGAATATTCTCCTCCTCTCTTCCCATCATCACATTCTTTGTTCCTCTGTATCATTCAGGCCCAAATGTCATTAAAAAAAAAAAAAAGAATGTCTCTACTCACCCAATTTAAATAGCTCATTCTCCCCACTTCCTATTCCCAACCCCAAAGCTAGTTCCCTACCTTTTTCTATTTAATTTAATCCCTTCCCTATCTACTTTCTAAAAATCTTACTTGTCCATTAAGGTTTAATGTAAACCTTGCCTTTCCTTAAGGCCTACTCCAGAGTTCTTTTAAACAATATTGTTTATACAATTCATTTGGCCATTATTTCAGTAATACCCTAGGACATTTCAATGGTCTTGTGTAATTTATATGCATGTTACCATGCAAATCAGAATATAAACTACTTGAGAGAATTTTATGTGTACCTTAGCTATTACAAGTAGTATACATGAGTAAATGTTATGAATTGACTTTCACAATGATTTTTTTTTATCATTTTCACTGGGTAATACTGGTTTTTTATGTTGTCTGTTGCATTTACCTCCCACACTTTTTTTTTTTGCTGCAATACACACTTTTTTTTGCTTTAGTCATTTATTCATATGTGCATACATTGTCCCACACTTTTTAAAAGTAAATATAATTTTGAAGTTAATAATTTGCCTAACTATATTCAATAAGTCCAAAGATTGTGGTAAATATTTTTATTACATTGGTCAGGAGAAGAAGAGGACTAACATAAGAGGGACCCTGCCACATTTTTTTTATTTCGTATATGTGGTCCTTTTGCCTGATCTTGATCTCTGACTTCTTAGCAGTATTCTGGGAGACTTGTGTCCTGTTTCCAGTTCTACCACCAATTTATCTGTGTGACTGAGTAAATCACATAACATCTCCCAGGTATTAATTTCAATGGAAACACATCAAAAGATATCATTGCTAAGATTAGGTAACTTTTAGGTAATATTCACTAGCTTTTTATTGCATTACAAACTTTATTCTCTCTAAAACTTTTTCTCCCGTGACTTTATTGAATAGCTCCAGAATTTTGCCAGTCACTCAAGGAACAAACTATGATTCTCCTTCTCCTTGGTTCTCCATTATCCACTCTATCCCAAAGCCCTGTTGGTTCTACTTCTAAAGTTGAGTTAATCAATTTACTTCTCTTCATTGCCATTAGTAGTTAACACTCTAGGCTAAACCATGATTCTTTCGGTGGTTAGTTTTCTTTGCCTGTGTGAGAAAGGGGAGCATTCTCGTCTAAGTCTGTCCTCTATAAGCATAATTTGTCCTCATAGCTAAATCTAGAAGTCCATGCCCTTAATCACTATGCTACATTGCTTCCTAATCAGATTGAGAACAAGCCAGCAAAGTAGGAAACCTGAAGAATGTTGTAACATAAAAACTAAAGGAGTGTTTCAAGAAAGGAGAACTGATATTTCTGAAAGGTTATATAAGATGAGGAGAAACAAAGAGCATTTGACTTCAAGATGATAGTGTGGTGACATTGACGAGGGAAGTTTTGGTGGAGTAAAAAAGAGGAACTTGATTATAGTGGGTTGAGATGCTTACTGGACATGATGCTCTCAGAGTGTTCTTTAAAGATTTTTTCTAGATAGGAAGTAGAAAAATAGGATAGTAGCTAGAAGAGAAAAAGAAGTCAAATGGTAGAATTTTTTTGATGTTTAAGATGAGAGATGTTAGAATTTGAATTCTGTGAAAAATGTCTTGTATTGAAGGAGAAATTGGTGTGTGTGTGTGTGTGTGTGTGTTTTCCCTACTCTAACCAGGACCCCAGAGGGGAGGACTTGTGTTTATTGCTTTTAACTGTATCCCCTCATATTTAGAATACAGCCTTTCATAATAATAGCCACTCCTGTAATCTTTCTAACGATTGTTAAGTAACATGGACTCTGCTTCCCTTAACCTTCTTTCAATTTATCCTTCACGTTAGTTAGAAATGTATTTTAAAAATGTCAAATCACTGCCAGTTTAAAGCAAGTAGTTCCCACCGCACTTAAAATGTAATCCCAGCTCCTTGCATCTGCTTTCTGCAGCCCTGTTTCCTGATGTTCTTGCCCCCACTAACTGTACTGGCCACCATTAATTTCTTAAAATTGAAGGACTCCTTTCTTACTATAGGGCTTTATATGTGGGTTTTCACACCAACCTCTTACTTCTCATCATTCAGATCTCAAATGATACCTTCTCAGAAAGGCTTTCCTTTATTTTGTAGTGAGAGTCAGGGTTCAGGAGCCTGACCACCTGGGTTCACATGCCAGCTCTCCACTTACTTGCTGTATGTGACTGTAGGCAAATTACTTAAATCTTCAATGTCTCTTTTTTCCCTATCTATAAAACAGGGATAATAATAATGTCTGCTTTATACAGTTGTTTTGAAAATTAAAAGAATACATAATGCATGTAGTACAAAGGTCAGTGAGCACTGTAGAAGTGCTGTTACCATTGCTGTTATCTGATGTTGGATGACCCTCGCTGTTCATTTTTATATCCATTTCCTAATTGCTTCTTCATGATATTCATAACAATTTCCAATTACATATTCATGTAACTTATTTATTTTCAGTCTTCCTCATTAAATACTGAACAACAAGAAAACAGGAACCATGTGTATCATATTCTCCAAGAGCTCTCTAATCCCTAATTCAGTCCCTATTGTACTGTTAACGTCTTCATTAAATATTGAACAGAATAGGCCAGAAATCATACTCCATATTGAAGCATCAATGATCAAACTAATATCACTGGAGGACCCACTGAAATCAAAGCCCACATCAGTAGTAACACAGCTGTAGTGTAATCTATTTCTGTCAAGTAGAATATGCTTTTCTGCCATT